AGCTGGGATTACAGGCACGCGCCACCACGCCCAGCTAGTTTTTTGTATTTTTAGTAGAGATGGGGTTTCACCATGTTGACCAGGATGGTCTCGATCTCTCGACCTCGTGATCCACCCGCCTCAGCCTCCCAAAGTGCTGGGATTACAGGTTTGAGCCACCGCGCCCGGCCTAATTTTTGTATTTTTAGTAGAGACAGGGTTTTGCCCTGTTGACCAGGGTGGTCTCCAATATCTGACTTTGTGATCCACTTGCCTCGGCTTCCCAAAGTGCTGGGATGACAGGCATGAGCCACTGTGCCCGGCCTACATTTTTTTTTTTTTTTTTGAGAAGAGTCTGTCACCCACTGGAACTCCTGAGCTCAAGCTATCCTTCCACCTTGGTTTCTGAAAGTGCTGTGATGTATCACTTTCAGTTTTCCTAGGAGACCCAAGAAAGCATAAATTTTAGGGGGGCACTTCAACAAAGAATAAAGTAAAGGGCAAGAGAATGCAGTGGACAGTAGTAATGGCTGATGAGCCCGAATGTGTGCAGGGCAGATCACTAAAAGCACTGACTGCCATGCTGGAACATTTTACCACTTGGTACATATGAGGCTTGCCATATCATAGCCAAACACAATTCATGTTCATACAAGTTGTTTTGAAGTCAAATAACCATCATATGACTGCATTTTTTTTTTTTTAATAAAGATGGTTTTCGGCTGGGCATAGTGGCTCATGCCTGTAATCCAAGCACTTCGGAGGCCAAGGCGGCTGGATCACCTGAGGTCGGGAGTTCAACACCAGCCTGACCAACATGGTGAAACCCATCTTTTTTTTTTTTTTTTTTTTTTTTAAATAAAAAGATGGAGTTTCACCATGTTGGTCAGGCTGGTCTTGAACTCCCGACCTCAGGTGAATCGCCCACCTTGGCCTCCGAAGTGCTTGGATTACAAGCGTGAGCCACCATGCCCGGCCCATATGATCACATTTTAAAAATTTCTTTTTAGAAGTTTTCTCTTTGTTTTGAGACAAAGTATTGCTCTGTCGCCAGACTGGAATGCAGTGGCGGGATATGGGCTCACTGCAACCTCAGCCTCCTGGGTTCAAGCAATTCTCCTGCCTCAGCCTCCCTAGTAGCTGGGACTAAACAGAAGAGTCATAATTTTTTTTTTTTTTTTTTTTTGAGACGGAGTTTCCCTCTTGTTACCCAGGCTGGAGTGCAATGGCGCGATCTCGGCTCACCGCAACCTCCGCCTCCTGGGCTCAGGCAATTCTCCTGCCTCAGCCTCCTGAGTAGCTGGGATTACAGGCACGTGCCACCATGCCCAGCTAATTTTTTGTATTTTTAGTAGAGACGGGGTTTCACAATGTTGACCAGTATGGTCTCGATCTCTTGACCTTGTGATCCACCCGCCTCAGCCTCCCAAAGTGCTGGGATTACAGGCTTGAGCCAACGCGCCCGGCCAAAGAGTCATAATTTAACCAAAGTATTTGAGCCTCAGTTTTCTCATCTGTAAAAGGGGACAACTATCTCTTAAATTGATAGAAAGAATTAATTTAGACAAATAAGTGAAATGTTTAGAATACTCCTCCACAGTGTTAGTTTCTCTCCCTACCCCCAAGCAAGTTTAGGTGTGTGTTCATAGTTGCTGAATGCAGTAAACAGCTATTAGAATCTCCAGAGCTTTGTTTACAAAAATGAGTAATGCAGATTCTTCCTTCCAGGAAATTTCTCCCTTTCTGGAAGTTTCTTTTCTCCAGTTTCTTCTCTTGTTTTTTAAAATTCGTTTTTTGAGACCAAATCTTGCTCTTTCGCCCAGGCTGGAGTGCAATGGCGTGATCTTGGCTCACCACAACCTCCGCCTCATGGGCTCAGGCCATTCTCCTGCCTCAGCCTCCTGAGTAGCTGGGATTACAGGCACGTGCCACCATGCCTAGCTAATTTTTTGTAGAGACGGGGTTTCACCATGTTGACCAGGATGGTCTCGATCTCTTGACCTTGTGATCCACCCACCTGGGCCTCCCAAAGTGCTGGGATTACAGGCTTGAGCCACCGCGCCCGGTGCAATTTTGTACTTTCAGTAGAGATAGTGTTTCTCCATGTTGGTCAGGCTGATCTGGAACTCCCGACCTCAGGTCATCTGCCCGCCTCAGGCGCTGAAAGTGCTGGGTTTAGAAGCCTGAGCCACCACGCCCTTCGCTCTTGTTACCCAGGCTGGAGTGCAATGGCGCGATCTCGGCTCACCGCAACCTCCGCCTCCTGGGTTCAGGCAATTCTCCTGCCTCAGCCTCCTGAGTAGCTGGGATTACAGGCACGCACCACCATGCCCAGCTATTTTTTTTGTATTTTTAGTAGAGACGGGGTTTCACCATGTTGACCAGGATGGTCTCGATCTCTTGACCTTGTGATCCACCCGCCTCGGCCTCCCAAAGTGCTGGGATTACAGGCTTGAGCCACCGCGCCTGGCCGGACATTGTGTTTTAAGAAACCTTGAGATAGTGAGTGAGAGATGCAATTAATTGTTTTATAATCTGATAATTTTTTGTTTGTTTTTTTGAGACGGAGTTTCACTCTTGTTACCCAGGCTGGAATGCAATGGCGCGATCTCGGCTCACTGCAACCTCTGCCTCCTGGGTTCAGGCAATTCTCCTGCCTCAGCCTCCTGAGTAGCTGGGATTACAGGCACGCGTCACCATGCCTAGCTAATTTTTTGTATTTTTAGTAGAGACGGGGTTTCACCATGTTGACCAGGATCGTCTCGATTTCTTGACCTCGTGATCCGCCCGCTTCGGCCTCCCAAAGTGCTGGGATTACAGGTTTGAGCCACCGCGCCCGGCTGGTCTCGATCTCTTGACCTCGTGATCCACCCGCCTCGGCCTCCCAAAGTGCTGGGATTACAGGTGTGAGCCACCGTGCCCGGCCCTAATCTGATAAATTTTATAAGAGGTATATAATAAGATGATACCTCATGAGCTGTCCTAGGAGTAAGGGCAGATTGTTTTTGTTTTTGTTTTTGTTTTGAGCTAGACAGTAAAAATCAAAAAGCATTTACTTATTAGAGACAGTGTATCACTCTGTCATCCAGGCTGTAGTGTAGTGCCACTATCTCAGCTCACTGCAGCCTCAACCTCTTGGGTTCAAGTGATCCTCCCACCCCAGCCTCCAGTATAGCTGGGACTACTGGCACACATCACCAGGCCTGGCTAATTTTTGTATTTTTTTGTAGAGATGGGGTTTCACCATGTTGCTCAGCCTGTGGACTAAAGCCATCAGCCCGCCTCGGCCTCCCATAGTGCTGGGATTATAGGCTTGAGCCACTGCACCGGGCAGCATTGTTTAATTGAGTGAAGAAATTATAGAAAACTTTTTGAGGAACTATTCTGGGTTGGAAGGTAACACTGCAACTCACTTGCTTTGTGACCTTGGGTAAGTTACTTTTCAGCCTAAATGTCTTCACTTAGAAAAAAACGTAATGTAGCTAATACTTAATAAAATCTTCCTTATAAGGATGACACGGAATACCAACTGCTTCCTTGGCTTAGGCACCTAACACGGTAGGCAGTCAGCAATCGCTTCACCTTTTTCAGGTCCTGTCTAAAGCAGCAGAGACCTTGGTTCCTACCTTCAAAGGGCTTAACATATTTTAGGAGAATTCAGATTTTAAAACATAAAAACATATAAACAAGTGACAACATAAAAAGATTACTAAAGGACATGACCTCATCGTGTCATTGACAAGTTATCAAGGCCGGCTCCACCAAAACAAGGATGCAAGAGGAGGCCGGAAATCCAGGTGCCTGCGGTAAAGTTTCTTAACCTTCGTGATTGCAAAAAGCAGGAGCTCAGCTAACTCGCTTTATGCACAGGCGGTATCCACTATTAAGGGGGAAAAATGGAAGTGACTTATTTCCACCTTAGCCTCAAAGCTCTTGAAAAGTTAACCAGCCTTAAGTGGTTACCGCCTTTGTCTGGGGGAAGTTAATAAAATGGTGTTTTCTCGACTCTTACTGAGACTCTGCATGTTGGTCAGCTCAGTATTTATTTGATGAGCGCTGTCCCCAGATCTGGTCCCGCCTGCACCAGCAAGGCTTGCGGCGAGATTGATGCATCCGCCCGCCCCGGGAAGGGGTAAAATTTGAGAGATGCTTTATTCATAGGGACAGTCAAATGAAGACTCAAGCAAGTCCTGGTGTAGAGACAGAACTGCGCGCCGAATGCCTTGGCTCCAACACCTGTTGAGCTGCAGGGCTCCGCTAAAGCGTCCCACTAAATAACTGCAACGACATCCCCCGAAGAGGGCCAATATGGCGACGGTCTCCTCTTGGCACAGCCCTCTTCCCTCCCTCATGATGGGTGGCTCCCGTAACTCCCATTGGCCAACTGGGAGGCGGTGCCAGGCTTACTTCGTCCCCCCATTGGATTGAATAACTGAGGGAGCCGCCAATTCTCCTCTGCCCACTCCAAGTTTCCGCCCTTAGAGCGAATTCGGCGTTTAATTGGCTTTTAGTTCACGTCAATATGCGTCCTTTCCTGTCTCTTTTCGGTCTTAATCCAATGATAACTTCCCTGGCTGCCCGCCTGACTTCTGATTGGTTTTAATCAGCTTCCTGCCTACTTCTTACCGCTCCTCCCACTAGGATTTTGCCCAAGAACATCCCGGATTCTGGTTGGCCGTTGTTCTGTCATTCCTATCAAAGTTTTCCCTATCCCTACGTCTTAGGGAGCCCGCCTGCCGGTTGACTGGTTTTTTTTCAAGCCAATCACTTTCAGTTCCCGCCCATCTTCACTTCCTGCATCCTTCATTGGCTTTTAACACTGAGAGGGCGGTCTTTTTGGGAGGACACCGGGCACGCAACTTAGTCATATACGCCTTAGAGAGCAAGCTTTTCTTGCCATTGGATTATCTCACAGTCTTTCTTCTGCAAGTCCCTCCTTTCCCCCTCCCTCATTGGGCGGGGCAGCAGCGAAGGGGCGGAGCCTAGGTTGGGCTTGTGGCGCGCTGCTCCCTCCTCCTTACCCCCCCCCTCCCTGTCCGGTCCGGGTTCGCTTGCCTCGTCAGCGTCCGCGTTTTTCCCGGCCCCCCCCAACCCCCCCGAACAGGACCCCCTTGAGCTTGTCCCTCAGCTGCCACCATGAGCGGTAAGGATGAGTCCACTCCAAGCTTAGGGGTGGGAGGGGAATGAGGGGGCGCGCGCGAGGGCCGACCGGGCGATCCCCGCCGTGAGGGGGGGCGGGCGGGAGGCGGCGGCGGCGGCCTAGGTCCCGCCCGGGGCGGAGGGAAGGGAGGGAGACGGGGCAGTGACGGGGCCTCCGAGGAGGAGGGGGATGGGCCGCCCGCCCCGGGGGAGGGGGCAGCGTGGCCTCGCCCGCCCCCTGCCCGCCCCGGCCACGGGGGACGGGCCTTAACCCCCACTATTCGGCCGCCAGCCTGAGGCTCCTCCCGCCGGGGGCTGGAGCCGCGGGGGCGGCCCGAGCAGTGAAGGCCCCGCCCGGGCCAACCGCTTGCCTGGTCCGCCCCTGCTCCAAGGCCCTCCTCCCCCCACTTTCCGTAGATTTCCCTTCCCCCTCCACCGTCCCGCCCTTTCCACGCCCCTCACCCCGAAACCGCCCTTTCCCTCAGGGCCCGCCCTCCGCCCCGAAACCTCCTGATTACTAACCCGTAGACCCCTGTAGTCCCTTATCAGTATTCACAAATGCTTTCCTACTTGCACTTTTTACTTCTTTTTTCTCCCTTTCCCTTCTCCTCTTGTTACTTTTCACACTTGGATTTTTCTTTCTCCATCTCTTTTTTTTTTTTTGGAGATGGAGTTTCGCTCTTGTTTCCCAGGCTGGAGTGCAATGGCGCGATCAGGGCTCACTGCAACCTCAGCCTCCCAGGTTCAAGTGATTCTCCTGCCTCAGCCTCCGGAGTAGCTGAGGTTACAGGCATGCACCACCACGCCCGGCTAATTTGTATATTTAGTAGAGACAGGGGTTCTCCATGTTGGTCAGGCTGGTCTTGAACTCTCGACCTCAGGTGATCTGCCTGCCTCGGCCTCCCAAAGTGCTGGGATTACAGGCGCGAGCCGTTGTGCCCGGCCTCTCCATCTCGTTTAACCTTAATTTTAGCAAGCTTTCCATCCACCCACATGTTTTTTGCCTTACCTGTTCTTTTCTTTTGTTTCCCCCAGGATACTTTTTCTCAGTTTGAAACTCTTTCTTGCTTTTTTTTTTTTTTTTTTTTTTTTTGAGACGGAGTTTCGCCCTTGTTACCCAGGCTGGAGTGCAATGGCGTGATCTCGGCTCACCGCAACCTCCACCTCCTGGGCTCAGGCAATTCTCCTGCCTCAGCCTCCTGAGTAGCTGGGATTACAGGCACGCGCCACCATGCCCAGCTAGTTTTTTGTATTTTTAGTAGAGACGGGGTTTCACCATGTTGACCAGGATGGTCTCGATCTCTCGACCTCGTGATCCACCCGCCTCGGCCTCCCAAAGTGCTGGGATTACAGGCTTGAGCCACTGCGCCCGGCTTGAAACTCTTTCAACATGCCCACCGTTCTTCACGTTTCCTATCCCCAAAACACTTTTTGAATGTTTTCTTAGTTTAATTTTGTGCAAGGGAGAATCGAGGCCCACTTTTGGCACCATTGAGCTTATTTCATGTCTTGTGTGCCCTGCAGCTCCCCTCTGTCCTCTAATCCATTTTCTTTATACTGGCGCCTTTCGCCTTCCTGTTAGTCATTGCTGTTTCATCATAGACTCCTTTTATCCTTCTTACTTCGCTTCTTTTCTTCCCTCAAGTTTAAGTTGCTCGTTTTTTAATTCTTTCAGACCAAGATCACTCCATGGATGAAATGACAGCTGTGGTGAAGATTGAGAAAGGAGTTGGTGGCAATAATGGGGGCAATGGTAATGGTGGTGGTGCCTTTTCACAGGCTCGCAGCAGCAGCACAGGCAGTAGCAGCAGCAGTGGAGGAGGAGGAGGGCAGGTAAGTGATCATCACAGAGTGGGGAAGGTGTTGAGAGGATGTAAATATCCTTAGATAGTTGCCTTACTCTTCACAGAAAGCTGTTTAGGGAGGGACTAAATCATTTTATATGTAAGGAAGTAAGCACAGAGATTGGAGATCCCCAAAGACAGGAGTTTCAGCAATACAGATAGGTCAGCTTTTTGTTTCTGTTTTTTGCTCCTTGTCTGCACTACGTTGCTGTTTATTTGTTGTATACTGCCCCCTAGGCTGGCAGCTGGGTGTCACTAACTCCTTTCCTCTCCCTTATTTTCGGCCAGGAGTCCCAGCCATCCCCTTTGGCTCTGCTGGCAGCAACTTGCAGCAGAATTGAGTCACCCAATGAGAACAGCAACAACTCCCAGGGCCCAAGTCAGTCAGGGGGAACAGGTGAGCTTGACCTCACAGCCACACAACTTTCACAGGGTGCCAATGGCTGGCAGATCATCTCTTCCTCCTCTGGGGCTACCCCTACCTCAAAGGAACAGAGTGGCAACAGTACCAATGGCAGCAATGGCAATGAATCGTCTAAGAATCGCACAGTCTCTGGTGGGCAGTATGTTGTGGCTGCCACTCCCAACTTACAGAACCAGCAAGTTCTGACAGGACTACCTGGAGTGATGCCTAACATTCAATATCAAGTAATCCCACAGTTCCAGACCGTTGATGGGCAGCAGCTGCAATTTGCTACCACTGGGACCCAAGTGCAGCAGGATGGTTCTGGTCAAATACAGATCATACCAGGTGCAAACCAACAGATTATCACAAATCGAGGAAGTGGAGGCAACATTATTGCTGCTATGCCAAACCTACTCCAGCAGGCTGTCCCCCTCCAAGGCCTAGCTAATAATGTACTCTCAGGACAGACTCAGTATGTGACCAATGTACCAGTGGCCCTGAATGGGAACATCACCTTGCTACCTGTCAACAGCGTTTCTGCAGCTACCTTGACTCCCAGCTCTCAGGCAGTCACGATCAGCAGCTCTGGGTCCCAGGAGAGTGGCTCACAGCCTGTCACCTCAGGGACTACCATCAGTTCTGCCAGCTTGGTGTCATCACAAGCCAGTTCCAGCTCCTTTTTCACCAATGCCAATAGCTACTCAACTACTACTACCACCAGCAACATGGGAATTATGAACTTTGCTCCCAGTGGATCATCAGGGACCAACTCTCAAGGCCAGACACCCCAGAGGGTCAGTGGGCTGCAGGGGTCTGATGCTCTGAACATCCAGCAAAACCAGACATCTGGAGGCTCACTGCAAGCAGGTCAGCAAAAAGAAGGAGAGCAAAACCAGCAGACACAGCAGCAACAAATTCTTATCCAGCCTCAGTTAGTTCAAGGGGGACAGGCCCTCCAGGCCCTCCAAGCTGCACCATTATCAGGGCAGACCTTTACAACTCAAGCTATCTCACAGGAAACCCTCCAGAACCTCCAGCTTCAGGCTGTTCCAAACTCTGGTCCCATTATCATCCGGGCACCGACAGTGGGGCCCAATGGACAGGTCAGTTGGCAGACTCTGCAGCTGCAGAACCTCCAAGTTCAGAACCCACAAGCTCAGACAATCACCTTAGCCCCAATGCAGGGTGTTTCCTTGGGGCAGACCAGCAGCAGCAACACCACTCTCACACCCATTGCCTCAGCTGCTTCCATTCCTGCCGGCACAGTCACTGTGAATGCTGCTCAACTCTCCTCCATGCCAGGCCTCCAGACCATTAACCTCAGTGCATTGGGTACTTCAGGAATCCACGTGCACCCGATTCAAAGCTTGCCGTTGGCTATAGCAAATGCCCCAGGTAAGATTTCCAATCTTTTGCATTTGTTGGAAAGTAACCCTAGCATCTTAGCTGAAACTTAAGTTTAAAGAAGGGAATAGAGCCTTTTGAGATAACACTTTCTTGAGAGCTAGTCATTTAGGCAAATAAATTAGAAATACAGATTCTGTTATAAAGTAATTTGGAACTGAAGTAAAGGAAACTTCTCCAGTTTGATGAGAAAGGAGCACTTCTGAGCAATACTCTGGAGTCTGTGTACTACTCGCTGTTTTTGGTGCTGCAAAATAAGGGTTGACAAACTTTTTCTGTAAAGGGCAAGATAGTAATATTTTAGGCATTGTGGCCCACATGTCACATTTTCTCCCCCCGCCCCCACACACACCTTTTTTTTTTTTTGGCGACAGTCTCACTCTGTCACCCAGGCTGGAGTGCAGTGACTCGATCTCGGCTGACTACAACCTCCATCTCCCGAGGTTCAAGCAAATCTCCTGCCTTAGCCTCCTGAGTAGCTGGGATTATAGGCACCCGCCACTATGCCTGACTAATTTTTTGTATTTTTTGCTAGAGACCAGGTTTCACCCTGTTGGCCAGGCTGGTCTTGAACTCCTGACCAAATGATCTGCCTGCCTCAGCCTCCCAAAGGGCTGGGATTACAAGTGTGAGCCACCAAGCCCAGCCTCCGCACCCCTTTAAAAACGTAAAACCGACAGGGGGCGGGGTGGGGAGGTTGTAGTGAGCCTAGATCCTGCCGTCCCACTCCAGCCTGGTAAACAAGAGCAGAACTCTGTCTCAGAAAAAAAATAGATAAATAAAAATGTAAAACCATTCTTAGCTCTAAGGCCTTCTTTGGCCTGTGGGCCAACTCCTGATAGGATAAAAATTGATTATGGGTGGGGCGTGGTGGCTCACACCTGTAATTCAAGCACTTTGAGAAGATAGGTGGGTGGCTTGAGTTCAGTTCGAGACCAGCCTGAGCAACATGGTGAAACCCCCGTCTCCAACAAAAATACAAAAATTGGCCAGGTATGGCACATGCATATAGTCCCAGCTGCTCTGGAGGCTGAGGCTACTCCGGAGGTTGCAGTGAGCCAAGATTGTGCCACTGTACTCTAGCCTGGGCGACAAAGCAAGACTGTTAAAAAAAAAAAACCACAAAAATTAGACTGGCAGCTGGGTGTGGTGGCTCACGCCTGTAATCCCAGTACTTTGGGAGGCAGAGGACAGCGGATCACCTGAGGTCAGGAGTTCAAGATTAGCTTGGCCAACCTGGTGAAACCCCTTCTCCACTAAAAATAGAAAAAATTAGCCAGGCATGGTGGCACGCACCTATAGTCCTAGCTATATGGGAGTCTGAGGCCAAGAATTGCTTGAACCTGGGAGGCAGAGGTTGCAGTGGGCTGAGGTTGTGTCACTGCACTCCAGCCTGGTCAACAAAGCAAGACCTTGTCTCAAAAAATAAAAATAGTCTAGGCATGGTGGCTCACGCCTGTAATCCCAGCACTTTGAGAGGCCCAGGCAGGTGGATCATGAAGTCAAGAAATTTGAGACCAGCCTGGCCAACATGATGAAACCCCGTCTCTACTAAAAATACAAAAATTAGCCAGATGTAGTGGTGGGCACCTGTAATCCCAGCTACTTGGGAGGCTGAGGCAGGAGAATCGCTTGAACCCAGTAAGCCGATATCCGCCACTCCACCCCAGCCTGAGTGACACAGTGAGACCCCATCTCTAAATAAATAAAATTAATAAAATTTGATTATGAACTTGACCTGTTTGTAGAACACAGATTAAATCATCAGATATTACTTGTGAACTGTAACTCCTAATTGAAGGGAAAACGATGTAACGGATTCAGGAATGATTTTTCAACAAAATAAGTTGCCCGGTTAATATTAACCAGAATATCTCACACTCTGAGCATGCTGGTTAATCAGGGTTTAATTTTTTTGACTCCTACTTATCTTTTTTGTTTATCTTTGGAGTCTTGCTCTGTTGCCCAGGCTGGAATGCAGTGGTTTGATCTCTGCTCACTGCAACCTCCACCTCCAGGGTTTAAGCAGTTCTCTGCCTTAGCCTCCCTAGTAGCTGGGATTACCAAGGCCACCACCATGCCCTGCTAAATTTTTTTTTTTTTTTTTTTGAGACAGAGTCTCACTCTGTCACCCAGGCTGTTGGGTGCACTGTTGGGTTACCGCAGCCTCCGCCTCCTGGGTTCAAATGATTCTCCTGCCTCAGCCGCCCAAGTACCTGGGATTACAGGTATGTGCCACCATGCCCGGCTAACCAGGCTGGAGTAAGTAGAGACGGGGTTTCACCATGTTGGTCAGGTGGGTCTTGAACTCCTGATCTTGTGATCCACCCGCCTTGGCCTCCCAAAAGTGCTGGGATTACAGGCATGAGCTCCCGCCCGCCAGCTCCTAGTTATTTTAAAAACAAAATCTCATTGCTTCCCTTCACACTAACAAATGAGTGTCCTAGGTGATTCTGATACTTCCTAGATAGAGAATAAGTTTCTAGACTGCTTTGAAAATACTATGTATGGTTAGGAAGGAAGGAGAAGGAAAGGGAATGAGGTAAGTTAGGGACTGGAATGGAGTGGAGGAGGCAGGATTGAGAAGAGTTAAGAATGAGGAGAGCAGGCCGGGTGGGGTGGCTCATGCCTATAATCCCAGCACTTTGGGAGGCCGAGACGGGTGGATCACAAGGTCAAGAGATCCAGACCATCCTGGTCAACATGGTGAAACCCCGTCTCTACTAAAAATACAAAAATTATCTGGGCATGGTGACGCATGCCTGTAGTCCCAGCTACTCGGGAGGCTGAGGCAGAATTGCTTGAACCCAGGAGGCGGAGGTTGCGGTGAGCCGAGATCATGCCACTGCACTCCAGCATGGGTAACAAGAGCAAAAACTGCGTCTCAAAAAAAAAAAAAAGAATGAGGAGAGCATCAAAGGGAATAAAAATCTGGGAAGAATATTGAATTGGTTGACCATGATGTTCAGTGTCTTTCATTTTAAACTAATGTTTCATTATTGGTTTATTTGAAATTTAAAACAGGAAACAGTTCTATGTAGACCATATCTTTTTTTTTTTTTTTTTTTTTCCTTTTTTGAGATGGGGTCTTGCTCTGTTGCCCAGGCTGGAGTGCAGTGGTGCAATCTCTGCTCACTGCAGCCTCCCCCTCCTTGTTCCAGTGAGTCTTCTGCCTCAGCCTCCCAAGTAGCCGGGATTACAGGTGCGTGCCACCACACCCAGCTAATTTTTGTATTTTTAGTAGAGATGGGGTTTCATTGTGTTGACCAGGCTGGTCTCGAACTCCCAACCTCAAGTGATCTGCCTGCCTTGGCCAGACTGTATAATTTTAAGTTCCACTGTATGGAGCTAATCTTTAGTAAAGCACAATAAAAAGATACATATACAGTTTTTGTTTTTTTTGTTTTGTTTTGTTTTGTTTTGTTTTGTTTTTTGAGACAGAGTTTCGCTCTTGTTACCCAGGCTGGAGTGCAATGGCGCGATCTCGGCTCACCGCAACCTCCGCCTCCTGGGTTCAGGCAATTCTCCTGCCTCAGCCTCCTGAGTAGCTGGGATTACAGGCACGCGCCACCACGCCCAGCTATTTTTTGTATTTTTAGTAGAGACGGGGTTTCACCATATTGACCAGGATGGTCTCGATCTCTTGACCTCGTGATCCACCCGCCTCGGCCTCCCAAAGTGCTGGGATTACAGGCTTGAGCCACCCCGCCCGGCCTCTTTTTTTTTTTTTTTTTTTTTTTGAGACAGAGTTTCGCTCTTGTTACCCAGGCTGGAGTGCAATGGCGCAATCTCGGCTCACCACAACCTCCGCCTCCCGGGTTTAGGCAATTCTCCTGCCTCAGCCTCCTGAGTAGCTGGGACTACAGGTGTGCACCACCATGCCCAGCTAATTTTTGTATTTTTAGTAGAGACGGGGTTTCACCACATTGGTCAAGCCGGTCTCAAACGCCTGACCTCATGATCCGCCCGTCTCAGTCTCCCAAACTGTTGGGATTACAGACGTGAGCCACCTCGCCCGGCCCATCAGTTTGTTTATTTGCTCTTTGATTGAAGTACCCAGTTTTGCTCTTCTTCAGAGCAGACTGTGGATTAGTCCTTTTTTTTTGAGACAGAGTTTCGCTCTTCTTACTCAGGCTGGAGTGCAATGGCACGATCTCGGCTCACCGCAACCTCCGCCTCCTGGGCTCAGGCAATTCTCCTGCCTCAGCCTCCTGAGTAGCTGAAATTACAGGCACGCGCCACCACGCCCAGCTGATTTTTTGTATTTTTAGTAGAGACGGGGTTTCACCATGTTGACCAGGATGGTCTCGATTTCTCGACCTTGTGATCCACCCGCCTCAGCCTCCCAAAGTGCTGGGATTACAGGCTTGAGTCACCGCACCTGGCTTGGATTAGTCCTTTTAATAATTTGGATCCTTGCGTTTTCTTTCTTTCTTTCTTTTTTTTTTTGAGACAGAGTTTCGCTCCTGTTACCCAGGCTGGAGTGCAATGGTGCGATCTTGGCGCATCGCAACTTCTGCCTCCTGGGTTCAGGCAATTCTCCTGCCTCAGCCTCCTGAATAGCTGGGATTACAGGCACGCGCCACCATGCCCAACTAATTTTTTGTATTTTTAGTAGAGACGGGGGTTTCACCATGTTGACCAGGATGGTCTCGATCTCTTGACCTCATGATCCACCCGCCTTGGCCTCCCAAAGTGCTGGGATTACAGACTTGAGCCACCGTGCCCGGCCGGATCCTTGCGTTTTCTAAAAGGCTTATAACTTAGGCTCTAGAGAACAGTTGTGAGGCATCTCATTGCTAAATCATGCTCTGGGGAAGTCTGCCAGGGCTACCTAGTTGTTACTGATGGTCTCTGAGCTGAAGAAAATGCATGTGTTTCTATAAGGTAATAGGAGCTTAACATTCACTAATGAGAGAATGAGGCATTGACAAGCTGTTTTGTGAGAGATTGCTTCATTAATAGGGGTTTTTGAAAATCCAGGTTTCCTT